GGTCATTAGCACTTTGGTTCGGGACATGTCAGTCTGTGGATGGCTTGGCTTTACGCCAAACTTTGCGTGAACATACAGTATCCCAGCATCCCAAACTGCATACTGTAGTTGGGATGCATCCATTGTAATGTATGTGTGTGCGTAACCCTGGCGACGACCACAGGTGACACAACACTGTCTTTGGACCGACCTGAGAGAGCAGCGACCCAGTAGCTTCAGCTTGTCGCAGAAGCGTGAGAGGACATGGTGTTCTTCCTGCAAGCTGGACCTGCATGAGAAGAAGACGAAAACACAAGATAATATAATATGTGAGTTTATTTTATTTAGAGAGATTTTAACCAAGAGTTTGTTACAAAAAAAAAAAAGATCTTCCACTAAACCAGATAAACAGACAGACAGATTGAGTGTTGCGTACACACCTGTGTTGGTCTTGCATTCCTGCATATTGCACTTCCTGAGTGTTTCTGGTTTGGAAATCTTCTCACAGAGGCTGTTTGGCATCACAGCCAAATCTTGGTCACTCACACATCTGACTTGACGCTGCTGCTGACCTCCACACAAACTCACGGAGCACTGCGTAGTCATACAACCAACACACGCCACACACGCACACACGCTCACACACGCTTGAAATTTCCTTGAGGCTTTGAGGATGTTTCTAAAATGCAATAAATTATCCAATTTAATAGTCTTAGAAGTGGACTAAATTATTGCTCTGTGTGTGTGTGTGTGTGTGTGTGCGTGTGTGCGTGTGTGCGTGTGTTGGTGTATGACTACGCAGTGCTCCGTGAGTTGTGGTGGAGGTCAGCAGCAGCGTCAAGTCAGATGTGTGAGTGACCAAGATTTGGCTGTGATGCCAAACAGCCTCTGTGAGAAGATTTCCAAACCAGAAACACTCAGGAAGTGCAATATGCAGGAATGCAAGACCAACACAGGTGTGTACGCAACACTCAATCTGTCTGTCTGTTTATCTGGTTTAGTGGAAGATCTTTTTTTTTTTTTGTAACAAACCTCTTGGTTAAAATCTCTCTAAATAAAATAAACTCACATATTATATTATCTGTGTTTCGTCTTCCTTCTCATGCAGGTCCAGCTTGCAGGAAGAACACCATGTCCTCACGCTTCTGCGACAAGCTGAAGCTACTGGGTCGCTGCTCTCTCAGGTCGGTCCAAAGACAGTGTTGTGTCACCTGTGGTCCGTAGCCAGGGTTACGCACACACATACATTACAATGGATGCATCCCAACTACAGTATGCAGTTGGGATGCTGGGATACTGTATGTTCACGCAAAGTTTGGCGTAAAGCCAAGCCATCCACAGACTGACATGTCCGAACCAAAGTGCTAATGACCACAGCACGACAGCAAGCACAACTTAATCAGCACAAACATACCTGGGTCAACTAATACTATGTAATAATTCTATTTTTTTTTACTTATTTAGGTAAATTCCAATTAAAAATTTTGCTGGGAGGCATTAGAAAAGTGAGCAAAAGAACAAGCCAAAACACTGATGATGAATACACATTTGGACTGTAACAAATATCAGAGCGTAGTGTTCATAAAGCCACGTTCAGGTGAGCATAAATGCTCATCAACTTTAATATTTCCTTTTATTTAAATTGATTTGGTGAATTTATTACAATAACTAAGTCAAAACATTCTTAAAAATCATTTAAAAATTACGAATTTAAAAAAAATCAAGAAGCACAATTCAAAAGTTATGAAAGCTCATACAAGCTGATGCAAGAGCTGCTCCTACACAGTTGTGATGAATTAGATTATAATACGAAGCACTTTCTTTTTCAGTGAAAAAAAAACAAAAAAAAAAAAAACAAAATGACCTACAGTGCAAATCTTTCTGGGCCAATGGTGCTTTTATAATTGAGGTGCTGAAGATGATTTATGGCTCTACAGTCTAGTCGCCAGTTATAGTTTTCTTTCAAAGTGAACTGGTGAAAACAGAATGTAAATAAAGATTTTTTTTGTGACCTCTTTATTAAATTGTTAATAGTAATGATAATCTCTGTGTTTTTTTACTCTTACTATATATTTTCCTTTTTTTCTGCTTGAATTGTGTTTTTTTTTCCCTCAGAGCTGGCACTGTGTGTTTACATTATTCTGGGTACAAAGTTCTTGCTTTAGTCCTTTTTTGTTTCAGTTGTCCCTGATTAAAAAAGAAAATCGGCTGCAGAACCTGCACAGTTTTCCAGCTGAACCTGTGGTGCTCCTCCTCTGGTGTAACATTGACCGATGAGAAAGAGGTGTTGCAGGTCATCCCTCTCAGGTCCCTGTAAAGATGGCCGCTGTGTTTGTATGATATTGTACAGGCATTATCGTTGTCATTGTGTCCGGTACATCACCGGGACTGATTCGTCCTTCACATGTCTCCATCATTAAATGTAATGATAAAAGATGTTTGTGGCAACACTGCTTTGTAGCTGAGACATGAAATAAACTTTTCTTTTAATATTTGTACCTGTGTGTATGATGCATGCAACGTAGTAGGGGTAATTTCCATCTTGACAAGTAAGAGAATTAACACCTCATGTAAGCTAGCAGGCTTATACCCGTCTCTGCATCGTGGTCTTCTGCTTTATGACCTTTCATGTTAACAAGGTCGTTCTCGCCTGAGAGTGCCAGATGCTGCTGGATGTGTAACACCATAGTCAGCAGCACCAGGCTCTGTTTCAGGAATCAGGTTCAGCTGGCCCAGATTTCCCAGGCTCCACTGTGCCTGATTACTTGACACGGACGAACGCTGCCCCGCTCCGCGCTGCCTGCTGCCGTCATTCAAGCCAGGGACCAAGAGTTAGTCAGCAGTAATAGAAGGAAGTAACACAACACTGTGTCAATGTGGAGCATCGTGTCCTAAAAACCAGCAGTACGTGTGTGGGTGTGTGTGTGTGTGCGTGCGTGCGTGGATGCATGTGTGTTATCATGACGAAGCAAACACCATCCAGTTGTATCACCTAACCACATCTCTCATTCTGTTATGTCATTGTGTGTTGCTTAATTTGTAGAGTTGCACAATGGAAAGAAGCAGTCGAGCTCAAAATCAGAAAATGCCTGAAAAACATCTCAGACTTGATGGTGGCTTCAGATCTCTGAGCAGTGAGGTAGTATAAACCAAATTTCTTTTCTAGCTTATTTCTGATTTAAAATTTCCCCACCGGTGCTCTACACACCTTTTGTACATTTCCTCTCTGAATCCTTGACGTGGAGTCGACAAACCAGAGCAGAATAACAAAGAAAAAATTAAGATAGCACATTCAAATCAAAACATCACGGCAGAGATGTCGGTGTACAAAGAGCGACTTAACTGGCACGACTGAATTTCAGCTGTTTTCATTCAGAACAACATAGGTGCTTGATGGCTGGTCCTTTTTTTAAAAAGGGCAAACATGACCATAAAAATTACCCTATTATCTTGTGCAGCACTATTCAAGTGTTCTAAAGCCAAACAACAGTGCTTTTGGATTCAATAGTCCAATGTTTACTTCATTATTAGTAGATTTTCCAGACGTTCTCTGCACAGTGCCAACAGTAGCAAACAGATGTTGCCTCCAGAGCTTTAAGACCTATTACAATAAAGGTTAGAGCACGTCTGATCGGCAGATAAGTGGTAAATATAAAATTCAAAGACATGACATTCATCTAGCTGTTAAGCTTTAAGGTTTGTATTGTGTTGCAACGCTGAGTAGGTGTGCTCCACTTGGCTTTCAAAACAAGTATTATAAAAGTTGTTTTTATTGGCTTGCCAGATTTAGGATGATTTCCATTGACAACCTGGACTTTTAATGAAATCAAACCACCGAGTATAAGTTGGTCTGTGAGCATAAAAAAAGGGAAGGAGACAGTTCAAGTAAATATTGGGAAATATTAAGCTTCAGCACAATGCTAAATTCTATTTGTGGGAAAATAATAGCTATTTATAATATATTATCCCATCTGGTTTCACCTGATTATTACAATTCATGATATAGGCTAGTGTGATACTTTTAATGATTGCCATAGCACATTTTTTTGTTATCAAGAGTTGTGTATAAAACTATGTGATGCTTATTATTAGAGGTGGTGACATGGATACAATCACTGATCACTATGTTATCGCAATAGCATCAGATATAATGGAATAATAAATATTCTGTAATAAGATTGTGACTGGATGAAGTAACCTGATGGCTGCTTTTGGCTGGTTCAGCAAATGAAATACCTGACAATACAAAATACTTAATCATACTGATGCAAAAATATTAAAATCCACTATAAAGCAGCAACTTTTGCTGCGATACCTGTTGGTTGACAAATACAGCAGAGTTACTGCTTTGTCACCTCATGTTGCCCTGAGAAAAACAGAGCACAGCTGAGTGTGGAGTAGTTGCTCCAATGTCTGACCTGTAAGTAAATTCCACTACCCTGCTGAAACTGACACTCAGCAGAGGAGGATGATGTAAGTGCCTGTCAGGACAGGGAAGATAACATGACAAATATCTATTGATCACTGTAAAGCAGGAAACAGCAACCTCATCTTGTAGGTTACCAGACACCCCCCCAACACCCCGGCCAGGAACACATTAAATATTTACGTTTGATGACCAATAGAAAAAGGAGGCCTCCAGTGCCGCGCCGAGCAGCCATTTGCAAGTTACCTCTTTGGGACATGAGGTAACACATTTTCCTGTGATCTGTGAAAAGCTTTAAAGAATCATTAAAAGGGAATGTTAGTTTAATCTGGCTGCTTACCCCCTCAAATCCCAGTGTAAACCCAGAGAGTGGCTGAGGGAAGAAGGCGTTGGAGCGTCATCCGTGCATCAACGGGCCGTTGGTTTGGACGAACAAGTCCAGTCTGGTGGCTCTCATCTGGACCCCATCAGGTTGCATGTCCCCAGGCAGTCAGACTGGCATCCCTGTACCAGGCCTGTTCCTTTATTAAAGCCTCAGCCTCCTTTGACCCAGCACACATAGAGTGGGCCCCAGGGAATGCAGACAGAGACACACACATGGTTCCCATAGGTCAGTTTGGTTGTTTGTGAGTTGTGCGTTTGATTCCCTCGTAGACCACATACGGATTCGAGCTTAAGTAACTCGGAGTGAGGTGCTTTTCTCCGTAGAACATCTGCTTAATGATAGTGTACCAAAAGGGAGGGGCCGAGCAAAATCGGAGACACATGACATGAATAAGGTGAATTTCCACAGTTCAACTTGCTAATGTGATACAGTATGTTGAGCAGAGAGAAGGACAGATTGTAAGGTACTCAGTGCTGGATCCACCTGCTGCCACAAGGATTACACAAACTCATGGGCACAGGCCACAAACTAATAAAGATTCACTTGGTGTGTTACACAAAAAAAGCTTCAGAGATGAGATTCTGTTTGCAAAGTGCCTGATAAAGTTTCAGTAGAAATCTGACATCTCCAATTAAACCACTTTCGGCTTTGATCAATACACTGACTGTTTCAACCCAATCCTAGTGCAAGAAAGCTTTGTCATTGTTTGCTACTCTAAATGTTTTTAGTCAACCAGGTCTTTATTAAGAAAATAAAATCATGATTCACAGGAAGTGATGCATTTTATGAGTGGGCAGCAGCTGTTTAAAAAGAAAAACAAAACCGTCGTGGCTTTACAGGAAGAGAAAAGAATGCCAAAGAAACTCAAACTTTTCCAACAGAAATTACAGTTGGTAGACTTTGTGATAGATTATTATCACAAATTATCATATTGTATCATTATCATATCAAATTATCATGTTTGATTTGATTAACAATTATATTTTGCTTCTCTGATGCCAATCAACAATCTTTAATTCTCAGTGCCTTTTTATAACCAGGGTTACAAAGTAAATCACTGGTGCACATAAAATACAGTGACGTGACATACAGCAAGAATTTCAACGAATTGTTAAACATTGAGAAATATAAATCATAAGTAAGTTACCTCCAATAAGTCATAGTGCTTCATCCCAATCGTTGCCTCAACCAGATTTTGCCACAAGTCACTAATATTTTTTGTGGATGTCACCACAGGATGATATTACTTCTCCCAGTAACACTGCTTCTTTTGAACTGTCCTGAAAAAGTAATTTTTACAAACAGGGTTTTATATTTAATATCAAATACACACACTCTTCACCCAGTGACCAACAAGCTGCTGTTTGCCTGTTTGTTTCACCTTGATCCTGTGTCTGAATGTGACTCAAATTAAAAGAATGCAAATGTGATCACATATATATTGAGGTAAGCTCAACACTGTAATAGCCACTAACTTGAATACGACAAAAACTGCAGCACCTACAATTACTTTCTCAAAGACAAAATGTGGAAAAAAGTTTTCTTTTGGGAAACTTACTTACATTACTCACTACAAGGAATAAAAGGAACCTTTCCATGTGTTTCACCTTGATTCATTTTTCTTTTTGGCAATTGGAACTGTGTGAAATCAAATCTCCGCTGACGCGTATAAATTTCCGGTATTTGACTTTTCGTTGCTTTTATTGTAATTATGTTTTTGTTTTTGAGAATAGTGTAAGAACCCAGCTAGAGCCACAGCCTGTAGGGAGGGATCAGAAGCACATTTGTCTGTTCTATTGCCTATTGTTTTGAACTTTGAAATGCAATTCAGGGAGATAGATCTATAAAGATACACTAAATGCTAAAGCTGTAGAGCTTGGAAGGAGATGAGACCATCTCCAGACCCTTCAAATCTCACTTATATTGCGTTTAGGAGAAAAAACACAGGCACGGTAACGTTTGCAAAGAATTTGCTCCTTGGCCTCTAAAGAAATCCTACAAAATCTGCAAGTCCCTCAGCATCATTGCAGGCACACATCCCTCTGAGGCACCTACGGAGGACATTACTGTCTTAGTGGAGAGAACACTAAGAGTTGAGGGTGTATCTGCACAGTTTCTGACTCCTCAGTCTGCTGTGCTGAGCTCTCAAACTGCTTGTGGAAAGCATAGAGCTTTAGTATATGATTGTCAAATGAACAAAAAATACACTGAAAAATGTAGAATGCAAATTTTTCATATTTATCCACAAAATATTATTTTTTGTTATTTTATATAACTATTTGAATCTGAATTATTTTATGATGTTTTCACTTAAACTAAAAAGGCAAAGGTGCTGGAAATGAGTTTATTTATTTAAAATAAGTGGGCAATGTTTGGATAAAATATTAGGACTGTATGAAATAGTAGACTGAAATCTTAAATGAGGAAGTAAAAAAAATCATATCCGTCACTGTTAACCACAGCACGTGGAAGATATAATGGAGAAGTTATAAAGCTTGAGTACAATTAAAGAAATCTATAATAAAATTTAGACTGAATAATGCACAGTGCACAAGCCCAGTGTCACTTTGGTGGATCATTTTAGTGAGGCAAATAATGTTGAAAAACTATTACTCTGTTATAATCAGTATAAATGATGCCTGCTGCTTCCAGCCCCTCAGCAGTTCCCTCTGCACAGATTCAGGTTATCACAGTGGGGAGGGACACCACAAAGGAAGCGCTGATAAGATTACTTTGTTTGTATCCCCAGATAAAGCCATGCCAAGACCAGAGTTAAGACAAGACTGCTCTGGCCATAGATCGTTGACAGACATTAAAGCAGGCACTAAAAACTAGGACTTAAGGGAAGGAAAACAGGGAACAGGACAGACCCCGACATTAAAGACACAAGGATCAGGGAGAATAGATAAGACTGCCAGCAGCACATTTTGTTTATTACACTGGTGAGAACACCGACCATCCCTAATATTTTGCGTGTTCATTCCACATACTGTACATTGTTGTCTAGTCCACTATGACATTGTCCATCCTGTCCCTGCCCCTTGCCTTGAGGAGCAAATGATGCACGGTCCGTAAGAGAGAGTCTCATTGGCCGAGGTCCACTCAGACACCTGAGTCACAGAGGAAGGCGGAGGTCTGGTGAGTGAAACTGGAGAGCTTCATTGCATTACAGCGCTGCAGGAGAGATAACACGCTACGATAAAGTGCCTTGAGGGAAAGAGAGAGGCCTTAGCAAGATGACCATGATAAGGCAGCATGCAGACTGGAACCGGTAATAGTAACTTAATATGATTTTTATCTGAAGAGACAGAGGAGGATGGCCACTTGTCAGGATTATCACATCTTATTGAGGAACAAGTGGGTCCATTTCAATTTGTGATATTTATCCTCTTCACCCTCAGCCATACAGGCAGATGTATGCTGGATAAGAAAAATTAACATGACATACTAGGACCTCATTTTTTTTGCAACACTTACACAACCACTCTTTGATAAACCAATAAAGCAATCATCACAGCAATCTGTAACCATAGTGACTGATCCAATACTACCAGACTGTGTCTTCCTGCCCTGCAACTATTCAGATAAACCCTGTTATCACCTCTCACCCACTCTCATAAGTTAGATTTGCCTGCAAGTAGGCAATGCACACACACACACACACACACACACACGCAGAGCAGTACTTGCTCCCATATGTGAGAGGGGAAGTTGAGTAAAGGAGGGAGGGATCAAATAACTAACAGAGTCACAGAGCTTCACACAACACACAGTCATTCTCTGTGATCAGCCTTCAGGTGAGGAGATCACTCCAGGAATCCTCATATCAAGAAAAGCAGGGGGACAACTCCGACTGAATCCTGAGATGGAGAGAAAGACCACCCCTCACCGTTACCTCGATGCTGTGTGAAGGTGGAGTCATCTGGGGCTAGAGAGAGAGAGAGAGAGAGAGAGAGAGAGAGAGAGAGGGAGGGAGAAAGAGAGAGATGAGGAGAGAGCGAGAGGAGCAGGGGCAACAGAAGAAGACATGGATTATCTGACATGCGCCTGGATTGACCAGCGTTCCTCTTTAAGTCTTGAATCCTGTTTTCCTCCTCAGAGTGAAATCTGAAAATGCTTTCCTGCACATGTGGAGCGTAGCAGTCATCGGACAGGTAGATTGTGTGGTGCATCTGTTTTGATTTCACTGGAACTAAGGATTTTTTTCACACGTCAAACTTTCTACCTGGATATCAGTGCTTCATGTTTTTTTTTTTCCTAAATTGAGCAACTGCCTGGAAATGTGAGGGCTGACAATAATTTCACAAACAATTTAGAAACAATTAGAAAGAAAGTGTAAAGACACAGGTTTGTTACTAAAATGCACACGTAGTGATCTGTGTATTGATTTTTTATTAAATCTTTGATTCAGACTGATTTCTACATAAAAGACTCGTATTGCAGACCTTCTGATCACCAGCCCAAAACCTTTCAAGAGTGGAGAAGAGAACCAGTGGGGTATCAGCTTGAAACAGTGACTAGCTGAACAGTCTTTACACTATCAAACATAACTCAGAGGGAAATCTAAGGATTTCATACAGGTGCTGAATAATTTGGACTCTGCACTGGGACCATCTCGCCCAGTCTGGACTGTGGAGGGTTCCCCTCCCTGCCCTCCCAGCCTATCCTCGCTCCCAGCAGCATGTCCCAGGCTCTGAGGCTGCCTCTAGTCCTCCACACAGCACACTACCATGATCAGATGGGCTGCTGGAGGGAGTAAGGCTGCCTCTGCCTCGTCCTGCTCCAGGGCTGGGTTAGGGGCTCGTTCTGGTTCTGGAACCAACTCCAGACTAAGGTCATCAGCACTGTTTTCCTCCCTGTCTTTGCGTCTCCTGTTGGTCCTGGTGCTTTTCTCCTTTTCCCTATCCGGGGCGGCCTGCCATCAGCTCCGCAGAGAAAGACTGAGGCTTGCCAACCCGCGAACTCTCAGAGTTCCACTGAACATCTCGGAGACTGAGCTCGTCTCCAGGCCCAGGGCCACTGGGGGCCCCCTGGGTCGGACTGGGGGACCACAGGGTAGGCATGTGCGCAGCTACAATCATCTCCAAGGGGATATACGGAGGAGGAAGCTGTTCTCTTTCCAGAAGTTCTTCCTGAGGATCGATAGGAATGGAACAGTCAGTGGGACCAAGAGCAAGGATGACCCCCTCAGTAAGTAACTCAGTGACTATCTAAATGTAAAAAAGAAAAGCAGTAAACAAATTAAATCAGACACCAAAGTGAGTCTGAGCCTCTCCTGTGTCAGCAAAAGTTAAAAGTGAACAATAGGAGGCTTTTAAAGGAGTTTACTTTTCAAGTTGACAGTGCAAAGTAAAGGCTTTTAGTCTCTGCGCCCAAACCTTCTGACCTTTCTTCTGACCTTGTTTGCATTCGGATATTACAGATAACAAAGAAGCACCTGTTGATAGTTTTGAGTCAGCGACATTTCTGGCACCAAGAAACCCTCTTTAATGTTTTCTTATTTCTATTCTAAGAAACCAGATGTTAACGCTCGTCCTACCCAGAAGAAGCTACAAACAGCACCAAAAATGCATAAACTGGGTCTATCAATATACAGCCTGGTTTAAACATTGAATTTATATTAAATAACATAATTCTTTGTTCATTTTACAAAGACCGCCAGCCTATCCCAGTGGTTGGTGGTTTGAATGAAACATTCCCAATTAGAGTCATTTTTTTTTTTTGTTTTAAACCAGACATCCCTCTGATATCTCTCCTGTCCAAACACTCAGCACAATGGTGGTAGCTCTCAGATTGCTTAAAAAGGAGCAGGCACAGATAACCGGGCCATTATCAGGGGGTCTTCACAGCCCAGGGTAAACAGCACTGATAACGACCCCAGAAGAACAGGGCTGGAGCGGGGGGGGGGGGGGACATGGATGTCAGTCTCATTGATGCTTTTAGACCCTTTTCTGCCTCTCTGTGTCTGCGTCTGTGTCTCTCTCTCACTCTCCCACTCAGACTGCCCGCCTGCAAGCCGGCAAATTACATACCCTCAGTCAAAAATCAGACATTTGTTTAAAGCAGTTAGACGTGGTCACTTGGAGAAACACGTCTTTAAAGTGATTACATGTTGTATGTTTCGGCATATCAGTCAGTAGAATAGCATTCTCATTAGTGTCCCAGCATTCCCACTAAGCTACGTGTGTGTGCCCATCAGCCAGCGGGCACTCGCATGCTCCAGTGGGTGTGTGATCATATAGCAGCCAACGACGACACATGTGCTCACTTATTACTGACACACACACACACACACACACACACACATACTGTATACATCTCTCTCCTTCTCACATGCTCCTCTTCTCCCTCTTTCTCTCTCATAGCGAGTGTACATGGAACCTTTTTAATGTTCCTCTTGGGAGAGCTGAACCACACATTCAATCAAAGTGACTTAGGGGAAATGGCACAGGGAGGAAAAATGTCAGGGGAGATGTTTGTTTTGACAAGGTCATGACAGAAGCAACTTTATTTACTGACCATATTACATCGTGATGCTTTTACTGCCGCCTTTGTTAGCAGTTTCTTTTAAGTTGTAAAACTGAAGCGGTGTGAAGAAGTCTGCCTCAGTTTATCATAATAGTGGTGTGTGTGTGTGTGTGTGTGTGTGGGAATTCACCCTAAAGTTTATGTATGTTTGGAAAATGATTTACCCCCTCTGTCTATTTTTTTATCGACTCACAATTTCCCACTTTTAGGAGTATGTTGCCTTTTTTTTTTTTTTTTTTCAAAAGTCAGTTGGAGTAAGCGTGACCTGAGCATCAGGGAGGGAGGTGAAAGAGAGACTCTCTAGAGGTACAAGTTCATGAATGACATGGCTGAACATCATTGTGGCCACATCAAAGCCATGTGTCTTCAGTATCAATGGTGGTGCCATCAAAAAGCTGTGTCCTGAGGGGGTCTGGGGACACTGTGTGTGGATTATGTGCTCTCATATCAGGTTCACATGGTAAAGGATACTACACAACAGCAGCTTCAGTCTTTGCTCTGGCCCCTGGGGCTAGACATGATCCCAGGACTGACGTCCTTTGTAGACCCTTGCTGATCCCTTGAATTGACAAAATGTTTTCTTTTTTAATGCGACAAGCAGTGGAGGACAGCTTGCCTTTTCTTGAGCCAAAAGTTGCAAGCCAAAGACACAGTGCATTTAAATTTTATGATTGATTTATCAATATATATCATAGTTTGTCTCAGAGGTGTAAGGGAGGTGGAGGCTTTGGTTTTGGGTGCTGCCTGTGGCCCTGCGAGGACCCGGCTCACTGTCTGTTAAAGAACCGGTATCCAGCCTCCCACAGATTTATGGGGATGCCAGCGCAAAACTGTCCCACATGGCTTTCCAACCCGCTGGGAGCCTGTGCTGAGGTTACAGAGAGGCAGAGAGAAAGGGATGGAGATTATATTAAAGTCAGCTAAGTAGCTATCTGCATGGCCTAAGTATGCAATTAAAATATCTATGATTCACAGCTGAGTTCTCTTAAAGACAACGAGCAGCTCTGAGTGACTGCTGAAATATTGCCAAATAGGATTCAAGCAAAGGCTTGGCGGCAAAAGAGTTTGGTTAATTATCCTCGGCTGTGTTGGTGTGAGAGGGTGAGCCTGTCAAGATCATGAGTGTGTGTGTGTGTGTGTGTGTGTGTGTGTGTAGTCGTAGTTGTGTTAGGCCACCAGTTGTGTTTCTGTGCTGTAGGGGCCAGGCCATGTGTGCAAGATGCTTCTGGACATGGCTCAAGAAGTGTATATATAGTATATGCGAATACATGTGTAAGTGTGTGTCTGTGCCTGTTCATCTCCTTTAATCAAAGCAGTGGCCTTTTACGGGACAAAAAAAAACAAAAAAAAAAAACAGATGGCGCTCTTATGGAGGTTTGAGTGGAGAGATGTATAGCTTTTCTCAGAGGTGGGGAAGAAGCTGGATATCCCCTCTGTGTAAATACT